CTCAAAGCCATGGTATTCCCTGTAGTAACCTACGGATGTGAGAGCTGGACCTTAGGAGGCTGAGCGAAGGAAGATAGATGCTTTTGAGCTGTGGTGTTGGAGGAAAGTTCTGAGAGTGCCTTGGACTGCGAGAAGATCCAACCAGTCCATCCTCCAGGAAATAAAGCCCAACTGCTCATTGGAGAGAAGGATAGTAGAGACAAAGTTGAAGTACTTTGGCCACATCATGAGAAGACAGGAAAGCTTAGAGAAGACAATTATGCTGGGGAAAATGGAAGGAAAAAGGAAGAGGGGCCGACCAAGGGCAAGATGGATGGATGGTATCCTTGAAGTGACTGGATTGACCTTGAAGGATCTGGGGGTGGTGACGACCGACAGGGAGCTCTGGCGTGGACTGGTCCATGAAGTCACGAAGAGTCGGAAACGACTGAACGAATGAACAACAAGCGAAAGCAAGAACGCAGAGAGATACAACTCACCATGAGGACTTATTGCAATTAATTTCCAGAAGGCAAAACACACATCGGTTGACATTAGCAAAAAGGATTGTGATTTTTTTGTGATTTTTTTGGTGACACTTGTGATTTCTTCTCCGGGACAAGGAAATACAGTGAAAGCATGGCCACGATGTCAAAGAATTAAAGGGCTAACATGATTACCTATTCAGTACAAAAAATCAAACACATGTATACAGTTAGAAAGCACAGATGGAGAAACGCTGGCTGATGGGCCACACATTGCTCAGCTTGTGGTGCCAGCTAATTTGGCTCAAGAACGTGGTTGCGACCGTTCAATCCTTATGCTTTCTGTACACTTTAAAACCTCTAAAACAGTGGTTCCCAACCTGTGGTCTGTGGACCACCAGTGGTCCAGAAGAACTAAGATATGGTCCACGACCTCACCATTACTACACCGTTATAACAAGAGTGACTGGTCTTGCGAAACCCTCTCATAGTGCTGAGGCTTATTAAATATAGTTTTCTACATGCGAACAGATGGCTACAACTGGATGGAATATGTCCTGTATTAGAAACTAGAGCTGATGTGGTCTGTCAAATACATTTTTCTGAACCAGCACTCCAAATAACCAAACTGAATCTAAAGTTGACCAAAAACTGATTCATAACTGTTGGTCTTAGGTCCCACTGTTGGCACTTAGGTCCCACTTTAAGTGTCATGGATTCCTAGGACTTGAGGTTTTGCAATTTGGAATGTTCTGCCAGAGAGCTGTAGTGCCCCACCAAAGTACAAATCCCAAGATTCCACAGGATGCAGTCAGAGTAGTTAATGTTGGAATGATAGTCCTATACCTGGTTGGAAATGGTCAAAAATGAAGCCAGAATGGGTATGTTTCAAAATGCAATGTGGGTTCCAGGAGTGGCACAGGGGCAAACAAAGGCCATGCCCATCCTGCAGTTGCCCACCCTGAGTTAAAGTTAGACAAGCTTCTACAAAAACTCTTCACTGAGGGCGTATCTACGCTATAGAATCAATGCAATTTGACACTGCTTTAACTGCTGTGGCTCAATGCTATGAGATATATAGTTTTGTGAGGTCTATAGCTTTCTCTGTCAAAAAGAGCTAGTTTCTCACCAAACTTCAGATCCCAATACCTCATAACATTGAACCATGGCAGTTAAAATTGGTGTCAAATTGCTTTAATTCTGCAGTGCAGATGCACACCAACTGATGTCTGTTGGACAACACTCACTCCCAACCAAAGTATGTGCAGAAGTTAGAAAGTCAATGCATGAGGTTGGGAAATGATGGGAGGGACTAATTCTGGAAAGAAATGTATGTGTGGCAGTAAATAATACATTGTTATCACAGAAGTCCATGAGATGGAAGAAAGCAATCTGGAGATATGCCAACGCTATCTCTGTCATACGACCCATCTGTAACACCCTAATTTTGAAGAAAGGAGGCCAAAAATGGGACCTCATTGCACAAAAATATGGAATTGCAATAGGTATGCAGATTATAAGCAATATATTATTGAGAGGGAGCATCCACAATAGAGAAGCAGATTTGGAAAAAAGTTACACTGACAGTTGTGCTCTTGCATGGAGGAACAACAACACCCAGATAGTCTGCCTTGATTTGCATCTCACTTTGCAAAAACCTGGTCCCAGAAAGAAAGCTAAATCAACCAAGATGAGAGATATGGTTTTTGGTTGAACACAAGATTCTTTGGGTAGGAGCACAAAGATGAAAAGAGTACACTGCCTCATTGATGATTGTCGTAAAGTGGTGGTGTCCAACCTTGGGTCTTCCAGAAGTTCCCAGAATTCCTGACCAATGGATAAACTGGCCACAGCTTCTGGGAAATGGAGTACCAAATACCACCTGGAGGACCAAAGGTTGGATGCCACTGACCTAAAATTGGAGAAAAGGGAAGGCTGCAGAAAGCTCCTTCCTTCCTTCCTTCCTTCCTTCCATCCATCCATCTATGCATTCATCCAACTATTCACACATCCATTTTCCCTTCCTTCCACCCTTCCACCCTTCCACCCTTCCACCCTTCCATCCATCCATCCATCCATCCATCCATCCATCCATCCATCCATCCATCCATCCATCCTCCCTTTTTTCCATCCATCCATCCATCCATCCATTGATGTATCCATCCATGCATGCATCCACTCACTCACTTGCACAGGCTCTTAAGACAGAATATCTGGTTTTCCAGATATTGCTGAACTAGAATTCCCAGTATCCTGCCTGTGATGGCTGATGGGAGTTCCAACTGATCACAGTCTAGAGAGCCCCACTTCAGCTACCCTGTGAGATCCAAGTTCATACAAAACAGAAACAGGAAAGAACCATAGGAAGTTGCAACATTGTATTTCCTTCCGCCAGAAATTGGATGCCTAGAGCTGATCCTTTGGAAGGATTTCTCCAGCTTTCTCTCTTACTCTTTGGAGTGAAAAAAAACAAACAACAGAAGAAAACATATCACAAATTCAATCATTGTAGTGCAAGTGTTATCACCAGTAGTAGATCACAGGAAGGCTGCCGTTCAAAACACCAAACCAAGAACACGGGATTCTCCCCAACACCAGATTGACCATTTCCCCGCAGTTCACAGACGCCAGTGCCCAACTATCAAAAGATTTTTCTGACTACAATCTCCAGATATTTTTTGGTTCACCGGAAAACTCAACCCACAGTTGACAACACAGGATTCACAAAGTGTCATAGAGTCTTCAAGCAAAAGCTTGCGGTCTTATTTGTAGGGTTTGGGGTTGGTTTAGGAACTGAAATATGTGCTTTGCTATGAGTATCCAAAGCTGTAACAAAACAAACCCGTAGTTCTTGGCCTGACAAAGCAGATTCAAGCATCTTCCAGTTCTTAATTTGGTATCCAAGAACATAGTAGTCGTGACTGGGATGTACAGTTGTCTGCTGCCAAATCCGTCATAATTTCATGTATATTTGGAAGGACAGAACATGGGAATTTCACTGACACCAATAGTTCTCCAGTTCATCTCTGCATCCGAGGCTGTTCCCAGGCTCTTCACAAGAATCATGGTTCCTGATGGGAAGGTGCAAGTGCCTCACCTGAAGAGGAAAAAAATATCCAGTGGGGTGATTTAAGAATGTAAACACTGATTCTGGACTGCATAATCCAAGCTCTCTCCCCCCAATCCAACTCAGGGTAGCATCTACACGGTAGAATTAAGGCAGTTTGACATGCTTCTAATTGCCACTGCAGGCAGTTAAAGCGGCATGAAACTACACTGATTGATACCAAAGTGTACATCAGTGGTTCTCAACCTGTGGGTCCCCAGATAGAATAGAGCTGGAAGAGACCTCATGTGCCATCCAGTTCAACCCCCTGCCAAGAAGTAGGAAAATTGCATTCAAAACACCCCCGACAGATGGCCATCCAGCCTCTGTTTAAAAGCTTCCAAAGAAGGAGCCTCTACCACACTCCGGGGCAGAGAGTTCCACTGCTGAACGGCCCTCACAGTCAGGAAGTTCTTCCTCATGTTCAGATGGAATCTCCTTTCTTGTAGTTTGAAGCAATTGTTCTGCGCCCTAGTCTCCAGGGAAGCAGAAAACAAGCTTGCTTCCTCCTCCTTATGACTTCCTCTCATGTATTTATACATGGCTATCATGTCTCCTCTCAGCCTTCTCTTCTTCAGGCTAAACATGCCCAGCTCTTTAAGCCTCTCCTCATAGGGCTTGTTCTCCAGACCCTTGATTATTTTAGTCACCCTCCTCTGGACACATTCCAGCTTGTCAATATCTCTCTTCAATTGTGGTGCCCAGAATTGGACACAATATTCCAGGTGTGGTCTATCCAAAGCAGAATAGAGGGGTAGCATTACTTCCCTGGATCTAGACACTATAGTCCTATTGATACAGGCCAAAATCCACTGGCTTTTTTTTTTTTTTTGCCGCCGCATCACATTGTTGGCTCATGTTTAATTTGTTGTCCATGAGGACCCCAAGATCTTTTTCACACGTACTGCTCTTGAGCCACGCATCCCCCATTCAGTATCATGTTTTGGCCTTCAACTCCCAGAAATCCTAACAGCTGGCAAACTAGCTGGGATTTCTGGGAGTTGTAGGCCAAAACACCTGGGGACACACAGGTTAAGAAACACAGGACATCCCAGCAAGGGGGGGGGGGCATAAGGAGGCATAGGAATACTAGCAGGGAGCCCACAAAGAGGTCTGGACATCCCAGCATGGAGGCCATAAGGAGGCATAGGAAACACTGGTGTAGATGTTGCCAAAAAGCATGATTGGAGGAAAAATGGGAGTGGATTTGAGATTGAGCTCAGTCCTGCTTCCAATTTGGCCGGAACATATCCACCCATGTTCTTAAATTATACCAATATGGTCACCAGCTGCAGGTCCTTTTAAGTAACGTATCTCCAGAGTCATAATCTGACTCTCCAAGGATCCTGGTGCAGTCGGATGCCTAAGTCAAATGCAAACAGAAGCTGATATTCTGAAATCTGCCATCCGCCACAACCGTCCCTGCCTCATTACCTGTATTTGATATCAAATACTGTGGAATCTTCATCCTCGTCATCATCTTCGTTGAGAGGGGCCATTTCCACCCGTTCCGCCGGGGTCGTGATGATGTCATATTTGCGGGTTTTCTTTGTCTTCCTGGCAGACCTAAAGGGAGACGGGAGAGAAAATATCTCTGTTATGGAGCTCCTTTAACCTTATTTGTTCCACTGGGAAGAAAGGGGACATGATAACAATATTCCAGATTAGGTCCGACCAAAGTGGAATAGAGGGGCATCATTACTTCCCTACTTCCCTTGATCGAAACACTAGATTTTGATTAATACAACCTAGAAGTGCATAGGCTTTTTCAGCTGCCGCATCACACTCTTGACTCATCTAATAATAATAATAATAATAATAATAATAATAATAATAATAATTCCCACAAATACCATCTGCCTGCGACAAAGAACTGGTGGGATCACAAGCAGGAAAAAGTTACAGAAAAATGAACATGTCAAGCTACTCTGGGATTTACGGATTCAGACTGACAGAGTTTTGGAGCACAAGACACCTGACCTCACGATCATGTTGAAAAACAAAATATGCATCGTCGATGTCGCAATCCCAGTTGACAGCAGGATTAATGAGAAACAACTGGAAAAGCTAACACGATATGAGGATTTAAAGATCGGACTGCAAAGACTCTGGCACAAGCCAGTCAAGGTGGTCCCGGTGGTGATTGGCACACTGGGTGCAGTGCCTAAAGACCTTGGCCTGCACTTAAACACAATCGGCACTGACAAGATTACCATCTGTCAGCTGCAAAAGGCTACCCTACTTGGATCGGCACACATTATTCGCTGATATATCACACAGTCCTAGACACTTGGGAAGTGTCCGACGTGTGATCCAATACAACAGCCAGCAGAGTGTCTGCTGTGGACTCATACTGTTGTGTTTCAAATAATAATAATAATAATCATCATCATCATCATCATCATCATCATCATCATCATCATCTTTATTTGTACCCCGCCATCATCTCCCCGAAGGGACTCAGGGCAGCTTTTCAAACCAAGTGTCACTCATCTTATATTTGTTTATGTTTGAAGTGCTGTGCTTGGAGAGTCGGACTACAACTCTGGAGATTAAGGTTCAAATTCCCATTCAGTCATGGAAATACTTTGGCTGATCTGAGGCATGTCACATTCTCTCAACCTCATAGAAAGGCGATGGTAAATCTTTTCGGAACAAATCATGCCAAGGAAACCATGACAGATTTGCTTTAGGGTCACATTGCTCACAACACAAGACTTCCACCCAAAGAGGCAAAATCGCTTGGTTCAAATCCTTCTCTGCCGAAGGCTCACTAAACGACAGTTCCCAGTATCCCATCACAGTGATCCAGGACAGTTCAAGTGGTGTCCAACTTGCATTCATCTAACAGAGTAAATGCACCTTATGCCTGCATTGGAATCAACTGTCAGAAATATTAACTAGGTATTTTTAATTACAAAAATGTGAGTCAAGCACTAAAAGGGTTAAATGGATGCAAAAATTCAGCAAAAGCTGCAGTTCAGCATAAACAGGTATGCCTGTAGCTTAGTAGCCATCAGTCTAAGCGAGCCTCAGTGTTAGTTTCCCTCAGTCTGTGAGAGGTCTCTGTGTGAGAAGGCCTCACAGTGTGAGGTAGGCCTTTGTGAGAGAAGCCTCTGTGTGAGGTTGGCCTTTGTCTGTGAGAAAGCCTTGGTATGAGATGGCCTCATGTGTGAAGCTCCAGTGTGAAGATTGAACTTTATCTGTGTTATGGAAACCTTGTTCTTGTAAATAGCACAACCATATTATTTTACTATAAAGAAAAGCCTCCTATGGAAGAGATAACATTGGTCTGTGTGTTTTTTGTTCTCTTTATCATTTTAGGCACATTTTAGGAGCCCCCGGTGGCATAGTGGGTGAAACCCCTGTTCCGGCAGTACTGAAGACCAACAGGCCACAGGTTCGAATCCGGGGAGAGGCAGATGAGCTCCCTCTATCAGCTCCAGCTCCTCATGCGGGGACATGAGAGAAGCCTCCCACAAGGATGATAAAAACATCAATTCATCCAGGCGTCCTCTGGGCAACGTCCTTGCAGACGGCCAATTCTCTCACACCAGAAGCAACTTGCAGTTTCTCAAGTTGCTCCTGGCACGACCAAAATCATTTTAGGCTACTGGTGCTGGGTCATGCTGATGCTAATAAGTTACTCTGCTGCACATTCATGGGGAGGGACTTTTATTAATAAGCCCACTCACCCCAACATAAACATCAGCAGAAATGGCTTGCCATCAGGATCCAAGATATGAATGATACACACACACTTTTCTATACTATGTCGGATTGGTCTGGTATAGCTTTGGACTAAATAGGCAACAGTTCAACCAGGGATTGAACCGTCTGTCTGCTTTGTGGGGGGAGCTTGGCAGACCTAAGTCTCTTTACAGCTCACATAATATGTTCCAAACTCTCTTGCAAATGGCCATTTCTCAACCTGTAATTCCGGCAGGACAAGTACAACCAAAAACTGCTTCCTTGGCCTTGAAACCTCCTGGTTCCTTTCACCTGGAAGAACAGGCAGCCAATCTGCTCCATCTTACAGCAGTACCAATTTAAGAGGAGCAATAGCTAGTTTCTCATGGTACACAGAAGTTCAGTCTCGGGATGTCCCTTTGTACAAATATCTTGCCACTTTCGCTCTGACTGATCAAACTCTGGGTTGCTGTGTACAAAATATGCCTAGTTTCCATTTCCTTAGGGCAGAAATCCACAAATGCTGAAAGAAATGTGTTGACACTGCCTTCTATAAAAGGCATTACCCCAATCGAAGCTGCAAGACTCCTTCTGAAATGTAAATCTTATACCAGACCTTATTAGGAGGTATCTCCTTCACAAAGTTCACCCTGATTTGGAGTGGATCGATATTGCAGAAGTATTGCATGCTATGGAGCCATGGGAGTTGTAGCTTTACAAGGTCTTAGGTCTTCTCGATCACCAAACTGCCATTCCCAGGACTTCATAGGATTTAGCCATGTAAGTTCAAGTGGGATCAAACTGGCAGCATGTACAACACCATTTTCAATGTGGTATGGTCGTTTCAAGGATGCATCACAACTCCAGGAGACTATTTGTTTACTGGTTTATTTGTTTACTTACTTGATATGCCACTTTCTTTTCCTGTGAAAAGATCTCGAGGTCCTCATGGACAAGTTAAACATGAGCCAACAATGTGATGCGGCGGCAAAAAAAAGCCATTGGGATTTTGGCCTGCATCAATAGGAGCATAGTGTCTAGATCCAGGGCAGTCATGCTACCCCTCTATTCTACCTTGGTTAGAGCACACCTGGAATATTGTGTCCAATTTTGGGCACCACAATTGAAGGGAGATGTTGACAATCTGGAATAGGTCCAGAGGAGGGCAACTAAAATGATCAAAGGTCTGGAGAACAAGCCCTATGAGGAGCGGCTTAAAGAGCTGGGCATGTTTAGCCTTCAGAAGAGAAGGCTGAGAGGAGACATGAAAGCCATGTATAAATACATGAGAGGAAGTCATAGGGAGGAGGGAGCAAGCTTGTTTTCTGCTTCCCTGGAGACTAGGACGCGGATCAATGGCTCCAAACTACAAGAAAGGAGATTCCATCTGAACGTGGAAGAACTTCCTGATTGTGAGAGCCGTTCAGCAGTGGAACTCTCTGCCCCAGAGTGTGGTGGAGGCTCCTTCTTTGGAGGCTTTTAAACAGAGGCTGGATGGCCATCTGTCGGGGTGCTTTGAATGCAATATTCCTGCTTATTTATTTATTTATTTACAACATTTATATGCTGCCCTTCTCACCCCAAAGTGGACTCAGAGCAGCTAACAAGGTATATATACATACAATACACTATACTATTAGCATAGTACAATATCAGCATTAAACACTGCTATATTGTACTATACCAATTATATTGTAATATTATTAGTAATATTATTAGTAATATTACATGTAATATAAATATATAATTGCAATATCATATTATTAGTAGTAGTAGTTCTTGGCAGGGGGTTGGACTGGATGGCCCATGAGGTCTCTTCCAACTCTATAATTCTATGATTCTCAAAGTGGGAAAAAGGCTGGAGACATCTCTGTTTAGACATCTTTCATTCACTGTATGTCAAGGTTTGACTACAAAAAAATAAACGCAAATGGAGAAAGCCATAGCTCTTCCTCAAACTACAAACTCCAAGTTGGTGGTCAAAGTGGGATCAAAGTGCTATAATTTAGTGTGAAGAAGTACAGCATGACAGCAAGGAGGGAGATAAGAGAGGTAAGTGAAGCATAGGCACAGCCTCATCCTTTCTCATATAGGAGCAGTAGCTTTGGCCATAAGCTCCGAGTCACATGAAAAGCAGCTGTTCCAGATCTTTCACTCTCTCATGTGACAGCTTGGGTCACTTACTTGCCCACATTGGCCAGCTCTCAGCCAGCTCTTGAGCCTCCAATCTATTCTTAGACTGACTGCCTTAAGGATTAAAGGCTCTGTACTTTTGAGGCACCAAAGAAAAAGCCTTGAAATGTGCTCCGAGTGATGCCATATTTTGACATACGAGATGGACAAAACGACTTTGGAAAAACTTTTGACAAATCCACCTGTTTGTCCTCAGAGAGAAAAAGGAGGGACCTATATATTATGATGCGGATGATGTTTATACTTCACTTTTTAAGTTGCTTTGAGTCTCCTGCAGAAAAAATAAAGCGGGGTATAAATCTATATAAATAAAAATGTAATGTGTGTTTGTGGGATTAAGAGAACTCAAAAACCAGTGGGCGAATCGACACCAATTTTGGACAGCATACACCTAACAATCCAATGTATGTCCTTCACTCAAAAAAACTTTGATTTTGTCATTTGGGAGTTGTAGTTTCTGGGATTTATAGTTCACCTACGATCAAAAAGCATTCTGAACTCCACCAATTATGGAATTGAACCAAACATGGCATACAGGACACCCACGACCAACAGAAAACACTAGAAGGGTTTGGTGGGCATTGACCTTGAGTTTGGGAGTTGTAGTTCACCTACATCCAGAGAGCACTGTGGACTCAAACAATGATGGATCTGGACCAAACTTGACACGGATACTCAATATG